TTTCTTCTTTTATTTGTCCAGTCGTGCATTGATTATACTTAGACAGTCAATACGACTGTATAAATTGTTTAAAAAATATTAAATAAAATAATGATAACTACCTAATAGGAATAATAATATTCAAATTTATAATCGTTACGTTCAGCATCAGCTTTTTATTTTATTATTTAAATACGATTTTTTGGATAGTTTAGGAAAATTTTCTTTTGACAATATTAGGTGATACTTATATTACATATAATATATATAATACAATATTATTATAAAATAAAAATAAACTTTTACCCACACAAATCATATAATAATAATTAGGATACTAATATTATAACTACATATGCATATAATTATTATTTAGAGTATATTTTTATAATATTTGAGCGTAAGAAAGCTAAAAAAACACCATGCTTGTGTTTTTATATGTATAAAATATACTCGTACATGCCTATATACTGGCTTTCCCACAAGAATTTCCGATTTGTAATACAAAAAAAAAGTTAACCGTCCATTATTATATAGGTATCTATAGGTAGGTACTAGGTACACCGGTCTATACCGAAGAAAGTCATTATGATCGCTTTCCCTCACAGTGTTCTGAGAAACAAAATAGTGCGCATCGGAAATTATAGTCTATAATAATAATAATATTCGTCGATAGTAAGGTTAGTTTCGTTGTTGTTTAGTCGTGAAGAATTAGCTATTATTATTGATTATCATTATCATAACGCGGTCGTCGTCTATTTGTATTTTTTATAGGGAACATAGGTACTGCAATACCGTACGCATTTATTAATTAAATATAATTTCATTCATAAATACAATATATATAATATAATCGTCCGCTCGTCAATGAAAAATCATTAAAATCTCACTGCAGTAAAACTATCAGTGGCGTAGACAGAAAAAAGTTCAGAAGAGTGAGATTTTAAATTGCAAAAGTCTCTTATTTGCTTAAAGGACAATTTTCTACGAGTTAATAAAATGATTGAAGAATCGTATACTTATGTTTTTTTTAATGGTTCATTAATTCGAATTTAATTATTAATTGTGGAACTCCCTACACCTGCTCTCCTAGCTACTCCTTAAAAACTATATGTTTTTATTAGATTATAAAATTATTGTTTTTATAAAATTTTAATATATTGTACAATGTACATTTATTTGACAGTGTTACAGCGTAAGGACGAGAAATACATTAAGTTATAGTAGATAATATCTACTATAAATGCATTTTTTTCTACAATAGTTAAAAATAGACATTTAAGTTAAAATTTAAATTGCATATTTTATAAACAAAAAAAATTATTAATTTACAATCAATATTATATGGTTTTATTATACCCGGAAAACTACAGTTTAAAGAACACCATTCATAAAAATATATTCACTCGTTTTCGTGAATGCGATAATAATTGCTTTCACGACTCTTTGCAGCACACACCCATCTTGATGGCTCACTCATAACGGTGACCTAATACATAGGTACGAAGAATATCCAAAGAATTTTTCAGTTATAAAGATAACAGTTAAACATAGTTTCAGTGTATTATAATTTATAAGTTATACGGTTATAACTATACAATTTTTTAAAACATTGTATTCCACTTAACGTGTGTTAAAAAAAACTCACGTGACAGGAGAAACTGTGACCTGATAACCTCCGTTGCACTACGCCATTACAATAGGCTTGACCATCTACAAACATATTATTAAAACAAACGCGTGTAATTTTTCGATCAATTCCAGATTTTGTGTTAAATTAGGTACTCGTATAGTCGTATATACTATAATATTTTATACGAAAAGTAGGTAGGTATAGGTTATTAAAATGACACGGCGATAATAATAAAAAAAAACTGTATATTTATATTATGTACATTATACATATAATATCTAATATTCATTCATTAAAATCGAAAAGAAAAAAAATTACTCTGTCTTACATATTATTCAATATTGAATTATTTTGAAATATAGTCTACATTTTTTAGTGTGTATGTCTTATAAACGTTAATTTTTTGATTTGGAGTGTAGCGATTTAGTTTTAAACTATGATACATGCTTTTTATGTGTTTGTAAACAACTTTTCCCAAAAATCCCCGTTGATTGGTGCAACCATCAAACAAATCCGAACGTTAAATACAAAGATTATATACAAATGAAGATGTCTGTTTCACTTTTTGTTGTAACAACAAAACTTCTTCGGAGATGGTAATTTTGGTAATTTTTTAGTTTGTTAATTTGGAGATGTCTGGTTTTTGCATTTACGTCTTCATAAACAGGTGATTCATTTAAGTGGGTATACACTCATTATCTCAGAAAGTATTAACTTTTTCCGGAATTTATTTTCTAGAAAATTTAAGAAACAAGCTGCTTTAAAATTGAATATTTATGTTAATTTTCGTCACCCTTATTTTTTGGGGTAAAACCACTGCCTACTTTTGATTTTCAAATGGCAACCTATATTAAAATATTCATAAATAGATAGAGTATTAGTTAAAATAAATTTGAGAGCTGAAATTTTTGATTTCTGTCAAGCCGTTGACGAGATATTCCACTTTTAAGTTTAGGATGGAGAGTAGTGGTGCATTATTAATACGCCGACAACCGTACTGCCACACGAATGATATTCCACTACTCTTCTCCATCCTAAACTTATATCTCGTCAACGGCTTGACAAAAATCAAAAATTTCAGCATTCAAATTTATTTTAAATAATACTCTAGGTATAGAGATCTATTTATGTTTATTTTAATATGGGTTGCTATTTAAAAATCAAAATTAGGTAGTGGTTTTACCCTTAAAAATAAGGGTGACAAAAAATATCATAAATATTAAATTTTAGAGCAGCTTGTTTTTTAAATGTTCTAGAAAATAAATTCTGGAAAAAGTTAATAATTTCGGAAATAATGAGCGTACCCACTTAAATGGATGACCCGATATATACAATTAGGTAATGGGGATATATTCCCCTTGTTTAATAAATATAATGAATTATAGTTGTCAAAAGAAGTAATATAATCTATATATAACGTACTTATATTTTATCTATGATTAAAGCCAAAAAAATATATTTTTTTTTTTAAATTTAAGTATGTATCACAAAAACGGGACGTATAATAAGTATAGGCAAAGATTACTGAATATTTTTTAATTTTTTTTTTAGTATTTTAGTGTATTTTTTATTTTGGTCTTTATAAAACTTGTAGAATTTGAGGTAATAACATTTACCGCAGGTTCAAATTGCGGAACGCCGATAAGTTAACACATAGAACAATTTTATCGAGATTTTATGGTTCAAAAAGTTTTACGAGTTGTAGATTATACTAAAACCTGGATATTCGTGGCGTCTTATATTTTTAAACTAGCTATAGGTATCTGTATGATATTTGGGATACATACCATTAAATTAAAAATTATACTTTAGCTGTGTTATTTAGGGATACTTAAATTAATCAATTACGATGTATAATAGCTAATGCTAATGAATTTATCAATTAATTAAAAATAATTTTAATTTCAATTTACAATGTCTGAATAATAATAATTATTATAAGTATAATAGGTACACTATACCTATTACGTACAATAATTGTTTTACATTACATAATTATTATTATTTTAATAGTTTGAATATGACGTATATTATATTTTGTCAAATTCTTATAATTATAAGTACTTTAATGTTTAGTTTATAATTATTACGAAATACTTACATATTGTATTGTGTTACGCTTTTACTTGATATTTGTCATTGTTTAATATGCAGATACTTTATTATTTTAATGATTTACGCTGGGGGGGGAAGAGAAATCGTAATTTGTATGTTCACATACCGGACGACATAACACTATAACAGTTGTACTATGATTTATGTAGTACATCTTATCACATATAATAATATGCTTGGAATCATATATTGGTGTTATTATTCATGATGTTGGTAGGTACACACTAATGTTATTATTGTCCACCAATTTTATATTGTCTAATAACTATATAGGTATAACTAGGTAGTTCAGGTGTTTCACTGCACACGTGACAACTACAGTGGAATGATATCATTGTTTACTCGAATTATATTTATAATATGTATTTAATGGTGGCAGTTACATAAATATTATACAACATAAATATACGAAATTATAAATGACTAGCTGTCCTGCGCCCAACGTTTCCCGTGCCAATTTTATATTCTTTTTACCTTTATTCTCGTATTGCTTTGCACGTATCATTATATCAAACGACAGAAAAGAAGTTGGATAGTCCGGTGGACTAAAAATGTTCTAGTGTGTCATACTTTTTTTCATTCATGTACTCGCACAGCACATTATTATACGTTATTAAATTATATTATATCCACTATAATAACGCTGAAATGATCAGGACATAATAGTATGCTGTAGTCTTATTAATGTACCAAAAAATACAAAGATTCAAAGACGACGTTTTAAGTGTTTTCACTTTTCACTTACTCGCCTAGAATAGCGTTTTATGTCTTTTCTTCATCCATGTTACCAAGGTAGCCCATCCTATAATTTAAATAATAGTAATAATAATAATAATAATATTTTTATTATCCATGACAACCAAATTATCATCCATATTACCAAGGTAACCCCCGAATAAACAAAAAATAAATAAATAAACAATTACCAAAAATACCTAAAACCTAATTATTGCAATTTTCGCAGGGATACCTATTTTTTTCTAGTAATGAATATAGCCTATGTTACTCAAAGATAATGTAGTATTCTAATGATGAAATAATTTTTGAAATCGGTTCAGTAGTTTTTGAGTTTATTCGTTATAAACATCCAAATTTTTCTTCTTTACAATATTATATATAATATATAATATATCTTATATATAAAATTATCGTGTCACAATGTTCGTTCCCATACTCCTCCGAGACGGCTTGATCGATTCTCATGAAATTTTATATGCATATTCAGTAGGTCTGAGAATCGGCTACTATCTAAGTTTGTACGCTCTGCAATAAGTGGTTCCGGAGTTATGGCCTCTTAAGTCAAAGTATACTAACACGCACGATATTCAACAATTATTATTTTGCCATGGAGAGATAATATACTCTCTATGTGGTTATTTTTTATTATTGGTTTCCGTGGCACTCGCGTGCCAATAACAATTGAGAACGGCTGGGCCGATTTGGCTAATTTTGCTAACCTAACCTAACCTATGTACGTGTGTGATGTCTCTTATGCCTTCCTAAACCATTCATCCGATCGCCACGAAACTGAAAAATGTATCAGATATTTTTCATTGCTTAGCAACCGTATACCTAATTTATATAAGTTTGAAAATAAAAATAAATTTAAGGGCAACAACCTTTGAGCTAGCACCGGGTGGAACTGGCAAAACATTCGTTATTTCGCTAATTCTTGCTGAAATACGATCAAATAATGGCATCGCATTGGCCGTTGCAGCATCGGGCATTGCAGCAACTTTATTGTATGGAGGCAGAACAGCTCATTCAGTATTTAAGCAGCCACTAAATATTCAGAATAACCCTGACGCAGTATGCAACATTAAGAAACAATCGTCCATGGCCACCGTGCTGAAACAGTGTAAAATTATCATCTGGGATGAATGTACTATGGCACACAAACATTCGCTTGAGGCGTTGAACAGGACATTGAAAGATATTAAAAACAACGACAATCTATTTGGCGGAACTCTGTTGGTCCTTTCAGGTGATTTCAGGCAAACACTTCCAGTCATTCCACGTTCAACATACGCTGATGAGATCAACGCTTGCTTAAAATCATCTCCATTGTGGCGTAATGTTGAAAAAGTACAGCTGAAAGTAAATATGCGCGTTCAAATGCTTCAAGATCCATCCGCTGAAACATTTTCTAAACAACTCTTAGATATCGGTGATGGAAAAGTTGCTATAGATGAAACTGGATACGTAAAATTACCGACCGATTTCTGCACAATCGCTGATTCGCAAGATACTCTCATTGAACAAATATTTCCCGATGTACACACACAGTACATAAATCCTGAGTGGCTTGCAGAAAGAGCAATTTTAGCGGCAAAAAATGTAGACGTTGACAATTTAAATCTGAAGATACAAATGTTGTTGCCAGGGAACTTGGTATCATATAAATCTATTGATACAGTTTGCGAGGACAGCGAAGCAGTAAATTTTCCCACAGAGTTTTTGAACTCACTGGATTTACCAGGCATGCCACCGCATAATTTACAATTAAAGGTTGGATCTGCGATTATCTTGCTTCGTAATTTGAACCTACCGCGGCTGTGCAACGGTACGCAATTAGTCATTCAAAAATTAATGAAAAACGTGATCGAAGCCAGCATTTTAAATGGCAAGTTCCGAGGTGAAAATATATTAATACCACGGATTCCTATTATACCTACAGATGTGCCAATTCAATTCAAACGTATTCAGTTTCCGATTAGATTGGCATTTGCAATGACAATCAACAAATCCCAAGGTCAAACGATGTCTATTTGTGGCTTAGATTTGGGAACACCATGTTTTTCACACGGACAATTATACGTGGCATGCTCTCGATTGGGTAAACCATTCAGTTTGTTTGTGTTGGCTAAAGATGGACTAACAAAAAATATTGTTCACGCTATAGCATTAAGAGATTGATATTTTTAAGGAATAAATTATAATAACTTAAAAATAATGTTTGCCTTTTGTTATTTTTATATTCCCTCATCGTTCACAGCGCTCCATGCCTCTTTCACTAATTTACCACATCCTTAAACACTTACAATAAGTTAGTTATTTTTTTCTAGACTATAGATTCCCTAGAAATAATTTATATGGCAAAACAACGCTTGCCGGGACAGCAAGATAATAAGAATCAGCATAATCTGAAAAAGAAAATTCATCTTTAAATAATAATAATAATAATAATCAGCACAATAATAATAATAATCATCAACAAAAAAAACATAATAAGAATCAGCGTTATCAGAAAAAGAATAATCATCACTTAAATAATAATAATGATCAGCAGCAGCATAATAAGCATCAAAAAAAAAAAAAAAAA